TAAAACTCTTGTATCATACTAAAGCATAAGAAAGCTTAATCAAAAAATCCGCATTTCATCACGAGGCTGGAGACGAAGTATGTGCACATATACTACATAACTAAAAATATTACCACCTGATAAAGATATTTCAACTATGTTCCAGGTAAAAATCTCTCGAATTTTATTGCGAGGTCTTTCACTGCGGACATGAAAGAAGGGCGAAAATGCTCACTTCCAATACTGTTCCAACAGAGCTGTAAAAACATATTCTTCTATATCCCACGAGAGGATTTATTTACTACGTAAGTTCATGTTAACCGTGCTAATGCTAATTGATATAGAAGTGGATGCAGTGGAAAGTGAATTTAAAGGTTAAGTTTAAGTCCAGCTGATCAGGCTCCCAGTATTTATCGTCTTGTGTTCGACCTTAATATCAGACGACCGTACAACGTAATAACTGTATCCCACAGTCAGAAATGGGATGTTCACAAGTCAAGATCGAATCACTAACATAATTTACGCTCTGATTAAGGACTTGAAATCATTTGGAAATTTCCACTTAAGTAAATGGAATTAACAACTTTATTATTCCTTCCTGTCTTGCATCAAGCCCTCGCTGCGTTATATCACGTTTACGTTGCCAAGTGCAAAAATTCTATGATACAAATTAACTGTCACAGTAGCTGGTATATTAACTGCATACCGAAATTTCTCCACGGTAAATACGTTCTACGAATTTTTCAACTCAAGACACCCACACAACTCATGCACAAGGTCCAGTTAGTTTCAAATAAATAAATATTCCGGGCAATGGGCATGTGTCAAATTGAAAGAACGAGAATTTCGTGTTCAAAGACGAGAAAGATGAAGGCCAGCCACTGTAATAAACGACTGAGGCACCTATGTAAGCAATGAAATTGCAATAATAATCGAAATGCATAAAGACATAGGTGCAGATCGAAATATAATAATATTGATTTAAAAAATGGTTTGAGGGTCAGAATTGGATTAATCTACAGGATGGGTGGGAAGTAAGTAGGCATTGAGAAATGGTTATAACCTCTATATTTCCAATGCAAAGCGATTATTTAATGCCTACTTACTTCCCACCCATCCTGTAGTTCAATATAGGGTTTGGTGCTGAGCTCTCGTAAATAAGATAATGGGCCTTTGCGTTACATAAAAATAGGGAATTTCGTGGCCACGTGAGCGACTATCAGCTTCCCAAGACACTTTCACGGTGTTCTATAGTCGTTTTGTCTAGCTCCACGAGCAGTAATTTGTTCAATGAAGTGCACACTCTCAGCATGACTCGTCCTCCGACGTCTTCCGTACTAAATCGAACATGTGCTAAGGTGAACGTCGCGTCGCAACGCACCGTCGCCCAGTTATTCCGGGAAATACGGAAGCACATGCTCTCTCTACTTTGGTGTGCACCTTGTGAAAAAATATCTGTTGTTTTAAATAAAGCATGTTTTGTTTCAGACAACAAAACTGCTGATTTCTAATTTGTTGCTCATGTTATGAAACTGCGCTTATAGGAAACTGCTACTCCCTTTACGAAATTTCACTTCACAACCTCCCAGGAAGGCACCTATTCGTAACAGCGGGGACTGCCTGTATTAAACTTCATTAACGTATACCAGCTTTCATCAACTTTGGAACGCGCAGCACGAGCCAATGCGACACTGGAGTAAACGTCATCAGAGACTGCCGGTGGCACAGGACCAACTAGGACAGGGTCTCATTCGGTGGGATGAGACGCAGAGTCGGCAGGAAGCCAGCAGTGGATGCTGGGCAACTGCACCGAGGATGGATCGATCTCCAATTCATGCTATCTCTTCTGCACCTGCTACACTTTCAGCTTTGCTACGTGAGATTTGTGGGCAGACGTCCACATCGGTAGTCTACAAAACAGAATCCGCATTCCACAAGTTTACTACTATCAATGTCAAGAATGATTTTCGTCGTGCGATGCCACCAGAATACCATATTATATATCCAGTTTTAATAAGGGACGTGGAAACTCAAGTTCACGGCTCGTTATAACACAACACTATTTTCAGTCATATGTAGTTCTACAGATTATTAACACAAGAACAGTCACACAAACAGTCATAACCTAATCCTTAAGAATCACACGGGTAATTTGCCGCAGGTTGTGCAGAGTACGATTTGACACCGATTTATTTTCAGAATTCACTGATGGCGATTCCCTCTAAACCTGGCTTTCCAAGTCTACACAATCCATACAAGTCAATACCACTCCAGGGAGCGGGCGAGTGACCGGGTAGCAGTGGGTCTTTCCAGCTTCAAGAGTTTTCACTTTACTATTCTTACATTCACCACTTTGCTTCTGCAAATAGATCAGTTTCCAATTCTTGCTCCTGTATTTCGTATTAAAACTGTATACGCCGTATCGAATGACGCGTGGAAGGAAAGGTGTATGAAATTGCTAGACGTATATTTGTGTATTATAAAAGCAATCACCGGAAGCAAAAAAATCACGAAAACAATTCCAACTGGCACCACAGCGGTCACTAAATGTGTTTGTATAAGAACCCAAAACACTATTTAACGCTTGTTACGTAGGGTTTAACCCTTCGTGGTTATTTTAGTATTAATAACGGCGCCTGACGCCGGAAGCTGAAGGGCAGGTAATGGGAGAAACTAAGATATGTACGGCAATGACCTTGAAACTGGGATTCCGCCAAATGACGAGCCTTCTGCACCGACATTAAGAGACGTTTCAACTGCCTTGATAACACAGGCTGCAGTTCCGGCACAATAAACAAAGTCATCATGGAAAGAGATCGTACAACGCGAATACGACGAAGCTACAGCATGAATACAAACGCAACACTGTTACTTTAAGGCCGATATTGCAAAATCTGAAAGACAGTGCTTCGTGAACTCGGCAGTTACAACAGGGAGGGGCCTCATGCGCTGTCATAAACTTTAAACACTTAGGACGACACTGAAAACTGGCATGAAGTGATTTTCATTTCCGATACGGAGTGTAAGCACAGGACTGTGTTTCTGGGTAACCGAACAAGAAGCAGCCAGGAACTCAGTAAGTCTAATTATTTGGGAATGCAGAGGTATTCATGCACGACGAACCTTCCAGCCTTTCTCATTATGTAATAGGCGACGCGACTCATTGATGTGAACATTTTTTGTGGCTAGCGTTTCTGTTAACGTTGTTGAACTTTCCGTTTCCAGTACACGAGCAGGCATGTCAAACTCGCGGCCCGCATGTTCTAAAATTACACACGATGAGCGGCCCAAAATTCACGTCAAATTGATACTTGTAAACAGCTGCTTTATATTTCAATTAAATAACGCGGAAATGGGTTTCTCATTGACATCCGTGTGCTCTGCGGAACAACAAAAAACGAGAAATTTTGGATTTAAGGTTCTCACGGCGGAGATAACGAAGATGTCAGTCTTCTGAGTCGTAGCGCCGTGCAAAATGGTAGAAGTTATCAACGTTTCGGAGATCTTTGCTGCCTCCATCACAATCACGTTGATTATGGAGTCAGCTTTTGGTGTGGAATTTTCCACACCAAAGTTCAGCCTAACATTTAAACTAATTATTCGGTAACCAGAGCCTTTTGTGTGACGTGCACCGCAAACCTTTGTGTACACTGCCAATTATTATTGAAGATGTCTGTCTTCTGGTTGTTGTGCAGTGTAGTCTGGCAGAAGTTTACCGACGTCAACGTGTACTGGTTTACACGGCGCAACATTCCAGAAAAAAGTCTTCACATTCGCTACCATAAGAACCTGAAATGTCCGAAATTACCGAAAGATATGGTCCGAAATTGGAATGTGTCAACAAATTTTTGTGAACCTCCACAATACAATATTTAATGCAAAACAACAAAGCGGTCTTGAGTTGTTAAATGCGAACATGCATAGCGAAGATTTTTGGGCGCATTTGTATTAAACAATCAACATTATTTTTAAAAACCTTCGGACTCAAGTTTCGTAAACATAAAGGAAATAAACACTCTGGAAGACACAATGTCTGAAGCATGCCACGTGTTCACTGCCTATGCAATTTCTCATGGTCAGTAAACATACCAATACTTCCGCAGCGACAGGAGACTCGCGAGCGCTGCTTCCTTGAAAGGGCCACCGTAACGTACTCAAATACCCACGTGTATATGTTGTCGGGGTATATGGTACCTCAAAATTGCTATTCGTTTCCGCATTGCGTTTTCTTTAATACAACTTGCACCGCGTCGGATGTTGCTTGCTTTGCATTCGTATTCCCAACTATGAACATACAAATGGTGCGTATCGTTACTACCCTTCCTTGTGTAGGATTTGCGGTTTTCACGGCGGTGAGTCCGAACACGGTTGTCTTCTTTCTACCCTTCCTTATTCTTACAGTTCCCGGTTCGATGTCCATCGTGCGGACTGTATAATATGTTTGTGATTGTTTCAGCCACTATCGAACGAAAAGATGTTTAATTCAAATTAGCCATGACCACTTTCTCCCACGACCATACCAATTCAACACTGTAACCATCAACCACATACTTCGATGTAATATAAATTCTCTACGGTAACGGACACGTCCTAGATAAACAACCCAGAACTTTAAAAACAAAAGTACTGACCACCGCATTACAGTCAAGTTGGGAATGGCACTAAAACTGCACAGCCAACTTATTCCCTCGGATAGAGCAAAAAAGTCAAAAAAAGCCACGCATGTTGAGCGTGCACCCGGGACGTGTTGCACAAACAGCCTCGTTTTTGGGGGTAGGAGAGGACATCCCTATGCGGAAACTGGCTCAAAATAAATTTACAAATAGCTTCAGGGACAAGCTGACATCACAATAAAAATGTTAGTATTGAACTGTTTTTCCTTGTTTGTAATTAAACTCTGCGCCGCAACAGTGATTATACAAAGCGAATACCGAGTTTATGACGAGCCCCACCTCCCAAAAAAAGGAAACGCGTCTCTGCTTTTGACACCACCCTCTTCATAATTCCCAAGGCAAACTCACACGAGCTGAAACAGTTTCTGGACGTGCACGTATCCAAAACGCCAATGCGATTCATTCTTCCGGCGTAGAAATGGTATCCTCGCCGTGTATACAATCAGCAACGGTACTCACCTGGAAACAAAAATAAAAAATGTTAATGCACTTTCGAGGCGCAATGCACATAGCTCGTAAGCAAATACGTTTTTTCCACTCAGAATCGAGACCGTACGTAGAACCAAAGTACTCGAGAAATGGCCGACAGCCACAAACATTTGCATGAAAATGCATTATTCCAATGAAAATAAATTGTCCGATTTATGTTATGATTCTGTGACCGCAATTCGACACATTTCAAACCACACATAAATATCAAAAGCAAAGGAACTGACAGAAAATCTCACCTGGACTTGGGCAAGAATTCCATGATGCACACAATCTGACCAACGAAAATCGTACAATCATTTATTCCATTTGACTTCTGTAAAATGTGGATCTGAGTACTTAATATTCACTTTAAAATTAATACAGATTTAAAACCTTCCCTTCGTTACACCAAGACTATACGAACGATTGAGGAAGTACAAAAACCGTTTCACACGCGCA